AAAAAAAAAAAAAAAAAAGTAGCTCAGCAAAAAATTCGAAAACCTTAGCAGAGGTATAGCCTCTCCTTCTGCCATGGCAATGGCTTTTCTTAGCATTTTCTTCTTGTGTGTGTATGTGTGTTTTTTTTTTTTTTCATCAATAAAGCAAATCAGGAGTATTTTACTTGGGAGTATAAGAAATATTCCAAAACAATATAAAGCATCCTTTACACTCAATTCATGATAATTTAAACAAAACACACAGCAAAACAAGCAAACAGCCTATGGTGGCTAGTATGAGAATTCATATTTCTTGTTCAATTTGATCAGAGTTTATAAAAGTTTATGGTTTTTCTTGATATTTTTAGTGCATGTGGTTTATGGGAGGCTTGATGTGATTATAGTTGATCTTTTTTTTTTTTTTTTGGCACATAAATTTGAGATGTTAACATTGTATGAATTCGAATATGTTATATTTCAAACAAGTGATATTATCAACCAATAGAACCACTGCAAATTTGTGACTATAGTTGATCTTGTGATCAAGGTAGAGCTTCCCCCCATTATTTCTTTCAATGCTAGGTTGAAAAGGAGCTCTTTGGGATATGGTTGTTTGGTTATGGTGGTTAGGGTAGGGTGCAACAACAATAGTTTACCTTAGGAAAAGAACAATGATTTTACGTGATGAATAAAATAAACTAGTTAATAAAAATGACTAGGCATCACTCGAAGATGGAGATGGTGGAGTCGTGACTATAGCAAGGCAAATTGTTATGATGAGGAGACAACGATATTTCGTAACCATATCTTGTTCAAAATTTTTGGAAGGTGATGGGCAGAAATTAAAACTCTCATTTGATTATAGTATACTTACTGAATTATTTAGTTTACAAATTTAAAAGGTCGAAACCTTTTATTTACCCAATAAATATTTTTTCTTTCTATAGTTAACCCCCTAAAATAATTTTCATTTCGGTTAACACCCTTCGTAACAAATAAACCGCAAAAAACACGAAAATGTAATGACAGGTTATGTGCACATGACGTGCATGTTAATTTCCGTTAACTTCCTTATTGCGTGGAACAAGCAAATCGACTAAGGCATTACATCGACATTTTTTTAAGATGACTTGGGGAAAACTTTTCTATATATATATATATATATATTTATAATTTTATGTATCATTTAAATAAATAATTTTTTTAATTTATTTAAAATCTATAACATAATAATATAAAAATTATATAAAAAAATTATTCTTATATCACTGTATATATTTATTTTATGTGGCAACCAATTTTTCGGTGACGTGGTTGCCACATGTGCTGAGCCCAACGACTGGCGGGATTTCCCAACGTACCTGTTTTCCTTTTTTTTAGAGGAATTCCAAATTTAATTAAAAAAAAGGCTAATGTTTTGAAATAGAAAATGTATTAACAGTTTTTAAGAAGATAAATTATTCTCTTCATTTTACACTAATAAATATTTTTTATTTAAAATTTATTTTAAAGTAATAATTATTTTTTATATTTTAAGAATAATAAATATTTTTTATTTTAACTTTATATTTATAATATCATAAAAAATTTTCTTTATTCTTATTTTTTT